TAGTAATAAATGTGTTATACCTATACGAACCATAAAAAAGAAATATAATCGGTATGATGATTGCGATGGCTATATAATATAAGAAATATTTCATTATTTTGGGAACAGTCTAGTTGATTAAATTTGAAAAGATATAAGTAGGAATATTATTTTTTTATAATGTTGTAATATTATATAAAACATAATTTATCAATAAAAGATAGATTGGTACTYACTTTATTTTTARATTTATTATCGGTGGCAAATTTAATACTAYTAATTTTTGTGATCTTKGATTTCTTTAAATTTGAATTCAATGCATTTATTACATTAACATATATAGTTAAGATAAATTACTATAGTTATTTATTATATATTATAATATTAAAGCAGAAGATTCTTCGGGATCATACATTTTAAATAATAATTCAGACCTTGAAGTTGGTTCAATTCCATATAAAGATTGAACCTGTAAAATAATAAAAAACTACAACAATTAAATGTTTATGAAAATAGTATAATGTATAAGTGTTAGTAGTTATAGCCTTTTTTATTATTATAATAACTTCGTTGTGGGTACACGAGACACAACAATAACGTACTGAAATATTAAATTGGCATAGGTGGTATACTGTAAACCGGTATTATAATAGGTACTATATGGTACGATAGTAGACGCTTTTACTAAACAGTATATATTCGTAGGCTGCCTACGGTAGGCAGCAATGGTGTATACATAATTTTTATATAAAGGAGGAGAGGTTTAAATMTGTGGAAAAAACTTTACTTATCACCTATAGGTATGTACGGTAAATGCGTATATTATGGGAATTTCACTTCAATTCATTGTTTTGACATATAAACTTTTCCTAGACTATGACATTGCACCTCCCAAATACAAANTAAATTTTCAGTATTATACAATCAACGGTTTGAATCTTAAATTCTGTCGATATAAATGGAGGTTCAGACCCGGATTACTTTAAACTGGTTTTAGATATTTTAAATTTTTGATTTTTTTTTTCTTTAAGTTTAGATAGATAAATTTTTATTAGATAAAAAATTGAAAAATTCAATCAAAGGTTTATATCAGTTGACCAGTGCTACGTTTATTCATTTGCATTCTATCTGTAACTTGCAGCATAACCGCAAATAACATAATGATTCAAACACTTTGATGTGTGGTAACTTTTTTGTTTTTTACAATAAATCCTACATCAAACTCAATGACATGTTTATAACCGCAACTATAGAATATTGTCAAGTTTTTTGATATATTTTTTTTGTTTTCCTAGCGCTTTTGAAAACTACTGAGAAATTTCAATTTCTGACATCCTCAATGGACCAACTATAGATTCACTTTCCAATCGGAAAAGCTACTAAAGTTGAAAAACGAAGCATTATTTCGAAAACTTATTTGGTACACAGACACAAAATAAATAAATAAATAAAAAGACACACATGATTATAATAATATCAATACATTCATCGCTCCATTCAGAATCTTAAAAAGTTCTTGTARGCTGAATGGCTTTTAATCGAGAATTCATTTCGTTCATAACCTACACCCTTCATTTTAAATATAATATTTAGTAGGTACTTACTACTTAGTATCACGAACTACAATAGTCTAATAAATATAGGTATCAGTATATTAAGAATATGAAGAACTGATATATTTATTTTATTGAATTATTGAGAAAACATTGAAAATAGTTGAAGAAACAAGTAATTTAAAGGACGTAAGTAATAATAAAGTGATCCAATGTTGTGAATGTTCTCGGTGATTTATCTTCTTCGGCTTCTAAATCTTCATTCGGTTAYATTTTAATTTTTATGGTATGGTGTTCGTCGACTAAAATATCTATAAGTCCGAGCGTCTTGAATTGATGATTTGTATAATATCCTCACACTTTAATGTTGTACGACAGCCAATTTCACAATGGAAAACAAAAGTTAATACACGTGACTCACATATTATTGTTTTAATATATCTAAATTCAAAATACAAACACACAATTAAAATAAGTATATTTTTTGTTATTTAATATTAGTGTGTTTTGTAGACTTTTAAATTAATTTTAAATATTAATAATAGTAAAGTTAAACATTCTCTATGAAAGTATGAGTAGACACGAAAGTTAAAACCGTTAAAATGTTAAAGTTATATTTTAGTTTGAMAATCCAAAAAAAGATTTAATTAACTTGGCGAAATAACAAAATCAAAGAATTAATATCAGTAAAAATTAATATGTATTATCAAAATCAATACCAATAGCTAATATTATCCTTAGTACTTAAAAAAAAAATTTTAATTATCAT